ATGAAAAGTGAAAATGCAGGGCACCATTTGAAATAAGAATTTCAGGGGCACCTGGGTGGCTCAGCCGGTTAAGCATCTGACTTTGGCTTAGGTCATGATCTTGCAGTTCATGAGTTCGAGCTCCACATCGGGCTCTATGCTGACAGCTCAGAGCCTGGATCCTGCTTCAGATTCTGTGTCTCCCTCTCTCTCTGCCCCTCTTCTGCTCACGTTCTCTCTCTCTCTCTCTCTCTCTCTCTCTCAAAAATAAATAAACCTTAAAAAAAAGAAGATTTCTAATAAAATAAAATAAGAATTTCAAAACAGTGACAACAAAGCATTAAACAAAGTTTAGGGCCCTTCCAAGCATGGATTCAAAGCAACCACCTGTAATTTTTGTAAAGTTGTGGCCAGTTCAGTAATTTACTCTCTTGTATTAACGCTCTTCCTTTCTTCTTCATGCCCATTTCCCTCTGATTATACCCCACCTTTACCCCTTAAGAAGGACTTAACATACAGGCTTTGTCTTAGGTTCTGTTTTCTAGGAATATAGACTGTGACATTGTATAACTTGTGTTTTTAAATTTGAGAGGCTGGTCAAAAATCCATTTTAATATTACTTCTAACTCTAAGATACCATAATTCCAACAATTTAAAGATATTCATTTAAATAATTGTATTTTTCATTTAATGCAGCCATATGAGGCAAAATGAGTTTGTATGTGAGGTAGAATCCTTGGATTATCACACCTCCAGTATTTAATTCTCTTTTGTTCAAGCATAATATTGCCAATTTATTCGAGGGGAAGACAGAAGGAACCTAATGAAGGTATCCCTTCCTTCCCTTCCTTATCCCAGTTCCTTATTTTCCCATTCATCTAAGCATCTCCTGCAACCCTGCCACCTCTATGTATTGTTAGACAGACTTCAACTTCCCGCTTCTTTTCCATAGTCACATAATACTTGATATGGTAACTTTCAATCATTATGATTATATCTAATCTCTATATGCACATTGATTTGCAGAAGTGAGCATAAATTCCACATATGAGTGAAATCATATGCTATTTGTTTTTCTCTGACTTATTTCACTTAGTATAATACTGTCTAGCTCCATCCATGTCATTGCAAACAGCAAGATATCATTCTTTTTTATGGCTCAGTAATATTCCGTGTGTGTGTGTGTGTGTGTGTGTGTGTGTGTGTATCTTTTTTCTTCTCAAATCTAGGGTTAAGGTTACGGTTATGGCCAGGCTTATGGTTAGGGCCAGGAAATGAAACAAATGAGCAAAGAGAAAAAAAGAAAAAAACAACCTAAGAAAGGGACTCTTAACTATAGAGAACAAACTGGTGGTTACCAGAGGGGAGGTAGGTGGAAGGATGGGTTAAATAGGTGATGGGGATTAAGGAGCTCACTTGTAAGGAGCACCAAGTGTTATTGAAGTGTCAATGACTATATCGTACACCTGAAAATAATATTACACTGTATGTTAACTAATTGGAATTTAAATAAAAACTTTTGAAAAAGAAACTAAAAGAACAGTAGGCATAGGGGCACCTGGGTGACTCAGTCTGTTAAACATTCGACTCTTGGTTTCAGCTCAGGTCATGATCTCATGGTCTGTGAGATGGAGCCCTGCATCAGGCTCTGTGCTGACAGTGCAGAGCCCGCTTGGGATTCTATCTCTCCCCCTCTCTTTCTCTACCTCTCTCTCTGTCTCTCTCAGAATAAATAAATAAACTTAAAAAAAGTTTAAAAAATAGTAGGCAAAACTTTTTCAAATATGCATATTCATTCAATATTTATTATTCAATATTTATTCAACATTCAACATTCAACATTATTTATAACAAATACAGAGAGAAAAGTGAAGTATTAGATACAGATCTTACCATTATGTAGCTTGAGGTTTTATATAGAGGCTCTGTGCTTATGTACACAAACAAAAATAGTTCTCAAAGTGGAAGGTAATATGTGGAAGATCACTTGAACAAACCAAAGTGCCTCTAAATGGTAGAGAATTTGGGCTAGAGTTCTGGAAGGATTTCAGAGGATTTAGGATTAGACATGTAAAACTGAGGACAGATGTCTGGAAAATACTGCTTTATTCAGAATTCAACTTGATTAAAAATATTGTCTCTTGTTATTTGAGGTATCTAGCCTTTTGTGTGTATAGCACTTGATTAGGCTATTTCTATATTGAACAATCAGAAGATGAATCCTCATCATCACGCCATTTTTACTACTGGAATTACTATTGCTTGTAGTAGGAGGATTAATATTGTGACCTAAACCTGGCCTTTGGGCACATTTTGTGTATAGCAGAAAGTTACCATGGGCTTATTTCTTTTATGTAACCTAAATGACATCAACAACTTCTGAATTTCATACCTTCATTTTTTCTATCAACCACATAGGGAAGAACAAACCTTGTGAATAATTATTGAGACTCTAATGGAAAAATGCAAGTGAAAAAATTCGGTTTTAAAATAAGAGAAAATACTTTTCTCCACAGCAAACTCATCCTTTCAATAAACCAAACAATGATTGTCGAGCCATTAGCAAATTTTTGGCAAGAAAAAACTCAGACCTCCTGATAAAGAATAATTTCCAAGCTTGTAAGAGCTAAACAAATGGAACTTAATTGGAAAGAGTTATTTTAACTGACAGATTAATAAAAAAAAAAAATTGTCTTAAATGTTCATGTTGGATTTTCAGTGTCTTGAACTTCCATGTATATTTAAGGCAGTTTCTCCTTGTCAAGTCACATGGGTGTCAGTGTGATGAATTTGTATCAGAAGAGTTTGGCTGAAATTTGCCAGGGGGTTGATTTTTGTCAGTCTCTTAAATTTTTCACTGCAATTTGGATATGCCTCTGAATGAAAACAAAATTTCCTTTAAAAAGAGAATTGTAGGGCGCCTGGGTGGCGCAGTCGGTTAAGCGTCCGACTTCAGCCAGGTCACGATCTCGCGGTCCGTGAGTTCGAGCCCCGCGTCGGGCT